ACGCTGCGCCTGGGCTGGGACTGGTCCTGCCGGCGCATGGTAGCAGGAAGCTCTCCACACTCTCACCGGACCTGGGCTAGGACTGGGTCTGGGGGTTCCCGGAAGTCATGTGTGGTATTTTGTGACACAGTATAGACAAATAATACAAATCAACTATGATTTCACCTACTCTAAGATTATCCGGTATAAATTTTTGCAACTGCCCCAGGCTAATAATAGTTGAAACCAAAATACAGCATCAGTAGTTTCATTGTCTTCAAGTTAAATAACTATAAAGAAGAGATAAAAAGCAACATTCAGTATATTTATTACCTCAAAATGTAATATCTTGAGGGGGATCAGCTTTGCACTTTCCAAGTTACCTTCAAATCTCTTGGCTCATCTTATTTGCTTATGAGGCTGGCAGGACAGATAAGAATGGAACTGTAGAAGTCATTTGCTCAAAGAAAACAACACTGCAGCACTTTGAACTCAATTTTGAGAAAGCCTTTCAAACAGTTGGAACTGACCTATTATAGAGGGTGCTGCTTTCTGGAACACATGCTATGCCTTTCCAGAAGAAAAGAGCTATGTGATTGTACCCAAAAGACTTAATCAGGGGAGAGCCTGGCATGGATAAGGACTCATGGATAAGAGGCTCACTTTTGAGACCTCTTCCAGCAGTAAAGTTGTGTTTCAACTGGAGGCCAACTAAGTTGACCCCTTTTTCAATGAATAAGTCAAGATCTCTCATTAAAGGATTTCTTGCCACTTTTACAAGCGTCATTTTTGGAAGCTGCAAATATATCTAACCACCTGCGTACAAAGAAAATACTAAATCATGACTCATATTAATTCTCTTTTCATTGTTGTAACAAAATACATGAGGCTTGTAAATACTTAAGGAAAGAGTTCTATTTAGTTCATAGTTTTGGAGACTGAAAGTCCAGGGTTGGGCAACCTCATTTGTTCAATCCCTGGTGAAGACTTCATGGTAATTGGTATCATGATGACAGAAATGTGTGCAGAAAGGATGAGACAGTAAGCCAGAGATCAAGGGAGGGCTGGTCTTTTTCTTTTTATAAGAGCATGATCTTACAAAAAGTCTCCATGATACCAATATTAGCTCCTGCTAGGAGCCCAGCCTCAGAGAGCTATCTTCCACTAGGAATCACCTCTAAAATGTCCCACCACTGCCACACTGGAGACAGCCTCCAACACAAAAAAGTTTGAGCAGCAAGTTACATGTAAACCCCAGCCAGACCCCAATGGCTTTAAAAGAAAGACACAAAATTTTTAGTAATTTGGTCTAGTCTCACAGACACCACATAAGTGAGGTAAGATTTGAGGTCATTCTCCTTGACCCCAGAGTTCTTGCCCCCTAAAACTACCATAGTAACATCCACCAACCTACTCTAGGAAGTAGGAGCAGGTTGAAGGGGCGGGCTGAGTCTGCCAACAGATGACACTTCAGCAAGGCCACCGAGGGTCACCTGGATCCGGGAGGTATCAGAAGCACTAGGACGTGCTATTGGCTCAGCAGCTCAAGACCTGTGGCAGGCTCTCCTGTAGCAGAGGAGGATGCTGCATCTCTCTGTTCTGTCTGCTTTCCTCACAGCCTGAGCTTGTCCTGCCTTAGGTGTCAGAATGAAAGAGATAACCCGGGTTTTTCCCAGAACCTCAGACTACCCATCTATAGAACAAGGATGTTAAATCAGTTAACTTTGGGAATCTCTTCTTGTTCTTGAATTCTATTATTATGGGTGAAAATCATATTTTGAAATTTTCTCCCATGTGCTTCTGGGCATAATCAGAAACTCAGTAATTGCTCTAAATGGAAATGGCACTAAGCTCCAAAGATTTTTAAATAATTTCAAATTTTCCTGAGAAATCTATTTTGTGAAACCTTTCTCCTCTAGATTCCTAAGTTCCTCTAGTGTCCCTGTAGCTTCTGAGAGAGAAGGCCGACCTATAGAGCAGGCAGCTCTGGAACAGGTGGAGTGTGGGGGAAGCTAGAAAATGAGTTATGTGGGGGTTGAGACTCTACCTGTGGCACGTACAGAGCTGTGGTGGCTCTCAACAGTTCTAGACGAAACCTGAGGCTGGGAGAAATAGAAGACATGAAGCCAATCTGAAGCCAGAAACTCAGAGCCCAGGGAGCTGCACATAAGACCATGAGAAGATTTAGCTAGAAGTATTTGAGAAGAATAGAGTGACCAAATGGTAAGTTATCAAGAAAGAAAAGAGGAGACTCTTTTTCCCCTTAAGTCATCTGACCTCACACTGTGTCCTACCTGATGGTCAGTTTTATAGGGTCAAAAGGGAAGTGAGGCAGTGGCCTGAGCCTAGATGGTGCAGGATTAAATTTAAGCACAACCCAAAACTCCAGGATCAGCTGAGTCAGCATTTTCCATGGTAGAAACAAAGCTTGAAATGAAATAATAATTCTGTACAACTCTCCTCTGTGCTTAAGTAGGAAGCTTGCCTACCTGGGCTTCACTTTCTAAAGCTAAAACAAATCAGGGAAATGTGTGCTGAATTAGGAACAACAAATACCTCAGGTCCTTTCAGAACCAGTTTAGTTCTAGGCTCTTTGAAGTCAGTAGGGACCCAGTTACCATCTGGAGGAAAGGCATTCATTTGGTCACTGGTCAGCCTGAGACATCAGGTTCAGAACCAGAGAAAACTAATTCTGCAGACCACTCTATATAGCCGGTAAATGGAAAGTCTGTGTATTGCTTTGCTAGGTATTAAACAGACCAATCATGCAATTGGAAAAGCTTTATCAAGACATCATTTACATGCCTTAGAGTTCATCCAGGATAAGCATGCAATTCAATGATTTTTAGTAAATATAGAGTTGTACAGTCATCACCTCCATCTAGTTTCGGAACATTTCCTTCAACCTGTTTACAATAAATCCTTGCTCTTGTCCCTATTCCAGGAAGTCAGTGGTCTGATGCCTTTCTGTCTGCTTTCTCTGGACATTTCATATGAATGCAGTAATAAAATATGTGGTATTTTTCACTTATTCTAATGTTTTTGAGGTTCCTCTATTTGGTATAAGCACGATTACTTTACTCCTTTATATTATTGAAGATAATTTCTGTGCAGTGGAAATGCTACACTTCGTTTATCTAGTCTACCAGTGGTGGACATGTGGGCTGGCTCCATTTTTATTGTTATTAATGTTGCTATCATAAACAAATACTACAAACAAAATAATTTATTTTTCTTGGGTATATTCCTGGAAGGGGGATTTCTGAATCACATGCTAAGCCTGATGTTTTAGGGAACTGCTCACCTATCTTCTATCAAAGTAGCTATAGCATGTGATATTCCCACCAGCAGTGGATGAAGTTCCCAATTCTTCCACACCCTCACCAATACTTGCTCTTTTCACGTGTTAAAGTATAGCGCTCCTAGTGGAGTGTAATAGTAACTTGCGGGAGATTTAATTTGCATTTCCCTAGCGACCAAGATCAAGCATGATCAAGAGCACCTTTGCCTGTACTTATACCCCAAAGTCACGTTTTGCACTGAGATTAAATGAACTATGAATGCTTTAAGAAAGCACCAGATATAATCTTAAAGCTATTTATTTCATTGGCATTAGTAAAAACAATCATGGGATGCTTATGTAGACTAAACTATTGATCCAGTCAACTCAGGGGTTCATTTGTGTGATAGCTGCTGAGCTTAATACACCTGGGGCTGCACTAAATTCTGGAGCAGAAGCAGTAAGTAAGACAGAGGCCTGAAGTGTAAGCCTCTAGGGGTGACTAGTGATTAACCAGAGATAGAAAAGGAACATCGTCCAGGCAGGGTAGGGGCTGGGAGTACAGGAGAGAGAGGACCAAGAACAGTTCTTGTGTAACTGCCAAGAGAGTGTATCACCACATGGCTGGAGGTCAGCGTGCTGCAGGGCTGGAGAATATGAAATGATGCCAGAAGAGTAGAAAGGACCAAGATTAAGATGGGCCTCACAGAGACTGTCTGATGTGCTGTAGGGGTGGGAATGAAGGAAGTGCTCCCAGATCTGTGGGGAGCAGACAAGAGGGGAACCCTGAGCTTTCCTTCACAGAAGCTATAAAAGCTTCACCTGGCCTTGAGTTCCTCTCTCCCTGGGCCGCAGAAAGGGTACCTCAGAAGCACTGAGGATGACATCTTACCTCCTGTATTTGGCAGGTGCTACATCACTCTCACCCAGTCTCTGCACCTGACCATGAGTGGAGCTCCAGCAGGACCTGCAGGCACAGGCAAGACGGAAACAACCAAGGACCTAGGCCGAGCCCTGGGCATCATGGTCTACGTGTTCAACTGCTCAGAGCAGATGGACTACAAGGTACAGATCCATACAGGATGGCAGGAGAATAGGAACTCGAAGGCAGCTTAGTCATGGCATGAGAGTTAGCCACACTGTGTTGGCCCAGCTCTTCCGGGTACTAGAGTCCAACAAAGAGACTTCTACTCACTTCTTCATGGTAGATTTAAGGATCTTTGAGTCTGACCTTGTCCACCTTCCTGAAACCCTCTTATGTGACAAGGAAGCACAAGCCCATGGAGTCTCACTGCACTGATGAACTCTGTGACTCATTCATTAAATGAAGAAGGTGAACACATACCCAAAGCCTTTAATCTGCCATTTGGTCTAGAAGTGTGTTAAGGATCATAAGTAGCTGTAGGAAAGATATTTGTCTTTGTGTGACAGCTACAGTTTAGGTCCACAGTAAAGTGGGCATTCCCAAGAATACTGTGCAAGGGCAAGTGTGACCCCTAGAAGGCGTCTAGATTGGTCCCTACGCACTGCAAGAGATGCTTTCAAAAGACAAGCGCAAAGCTGATGTCCTCCACTCAGGCATTCAAGAACTGACATGTCCAGGCTGTGTCACAGGGAATCAAAAGGCCAAACCATGCAATCATTTCTCATCTAGAAACATTCTACTCACAACTATAATAACTGAACAGAGATCACATTTTTTAAATGTGTAATAATAGGCTCTGTCGCTTTCTCATTATCTTTATTCTTTGCATTGTATGAGTTTTTGTGAACCACTTTACATGCCTCTGGTAAACAGGATTGCATGTGAATTAGAGTAGAAAAATAAAAACAATTGCATTAGACAGATGAAATATGTATATAAATGCTGTACTATATCAGTTATAAAATACATTTATGTAGAAATAATTTGCAGTTCAAGAGTTACAGGACTCTTTAAATAAGACTCATCTTCTATGACTGGAGAAATTTCTCTGGTAAATGACTTCTCTCCAAGGCCGGTGGCCCCACTTTTTCTCCTCATAAGTAAACAAGAGAGAAATTCAGACCCAAAATAACTATCTTCACCATGGTCTGCATCCATCCCCTAAATTTTAGCCCAGCTGCTTCTAGTGAGGAATGCATTAAGATAATGTTTCTTTTTAAGTCAGTCTGGAAGATCTTTTTTCCTTTTAAAGAAATAAACTTAGCCTCAGGATTATTTTAAGCTTCCAGATTCTTCTATAGTTGAACACCAGTGCATTGCTACAATAAGTCTAGCCTCCTGGGGGTAACACTTTCAAAGACACACTCATTTAGATAAAGTATTGATTGAAGAAAATCAGGAGATTTCTTTTAACTCATTCTTAGGATAGTGAACAGGAAGAGATAAGCTGGCCCCACAGGCAGGGATCAGAAAGGCTGTTTTACTTTTTTTTTTCAAAATTAATCCCTGCACCACTCTAAACCTACCAGTTCACCTGAGAGAGCAGGTTGGGACAAAGGTCTACCCTTGACTTTTTTGAACAGTGAGTGAAGCTTTGGTCATTGAGTCTGGCCCAGATACAGACTGGAGTGACATCAGTGTTTACAGTAGTAGTGACACACTCCAGAACAAAGGTGATCCTTTCCCAGACATCAGAGAGCTGTAGTAACCAGACATCTCATGAACCTGCTTGCAAATCTTTCCCCTTTGGTTGTTCAAGTGTTCAAGAATTATTTATCATCAGAAAGCACTTCAGAAATCAAGCTATTAGGTATTGCCATTGTTCAGCACACACTGGGCACTGTGGAAAGATACCAGAAATAAATATCTCATCCTGCTAAATTTAAATTTCACAGCTGGAGCTGCCCCCAAAAGCTGAGGCAGGGGAGTTCCCACAAGAAAGTGTCTCAAACCATTCCCAAATGGGGCTGGTGGTTGGGATTCCAAAGAAAGAACTGCAGACTGGGTATGGCTGAATGTGGTACAGTGCTTACTTAGTAGGCTCAAGGGCACAAGGACCTGAAAAAAAGAAGGGGTGGA